TTGCCCAGATAAGGTTAAAACAAACACACACACACACACACACATACAAAACTTTTTAACACAACACAATAAAATTTGAATAAATTAAATTAAAAGAGCGGTCATTAATAGATTGGACTTCGGCTCGTGATCTCATTTTTTATAATCTCCAAACTATCTACCGTACCTTAGTTACTTCTATACAAAAACAGGCTAACCTTTTCAAAAGCTCGATCCATAATTGATAGCATTAAAAATCATCCGATCTTCTCTATATTTAACAAGGAGTTGTTAATGTCTTTTACATACCTCTTCTTATATTATTACTAACAAACAATCATCTCTCTCCTATCCTATTTTACAACAATGCTGCTAAGTGGTGATGAGTTTATGTTTAGTGTTTACATTGGCGTTGTTATTTTATCGTAAAAAAAGATTTTGAAAGAGGTTTTAGGTGCGGTCATCGCTAAGACGCTTTCGAGTGCATTGACCTTAGCGCTAACCAGAGTTCTCTTAATGATCACTCAATGCCGCATCATCGCGGAGTTTATTGTGCCATTATTTAATTTTGGGTCGTCATCACTGCCGCCATTATCGGGCAAAAACTGGCACCTCTCACGACGTGCAAATGGAATAAAAATAGGCATTTTCTATTACACGTACTTTTCCATGATATGTCCGACTAACAGTAGGATAACGGTGTTTAATTGACGTGATATATATTAAACTAGCGACCCGTCCCGGCTTCGCACGGGTGCAATGCTGAATGTTTGTTTTCGACATCGCCTCTATTAGAAACCTCTTGAAATATCAGTGTTACGTAGAGTAACACTGATATTTATTATAAATGAATTATACATAAACCTTCCTTTTCAAACACTATTTATTAAATAAACCGCATCAAAATCCGTTGCGTAGTTTTAAAGATTTAAACATAATATATAGACAGGGACAGACAGACAGCGTGATGACTTTGTTTTGTACTATGTAGTTATAGTGATTGCGAAATTTTCCTGGATCGATTAAACTATTCTTTTTCTATGTGTGAAGATAGCTAGCGAGCTGACGGTTCACTTAATGTTAAGTGACGACCGCCGCCCATGGACATTTGAAACACCCGTAGGTAGGGTTGCAGATGCGTTGGCACATTTTAATAAAGTGGGCCTCGGACACTTCTACCTCACGCCGGTCTTCTGTGAGGTCGTGGCACTTACCCGGATAGACCGCCCATTTGTGCAACAGCCGAAGCTGTTGCGAGACTCTACCATTTTTAAACGATGTTTTCATCCTCCATCCACCCGCCTTTCCTTAGATAGATGAACCTTTGTATTTGATTACAAAGTGAGAGCGAGACTTTAAATCTAAAGAGGATTCTAAGTTTTCTTCATTCATCAGTAATAGTTAGATTTAATCATTATAAACAGTTAAATTAACAATTTTTTAGAAGATACAATAAGTAACACTTGAACTCATGTAACATTTAAGGCGAACGAATATCTCCTTAAGCGTTGCATATGTGAAATTTGGGACATATTTCATATATACAGCGTGTCGTTACAACCGCGACAATAAATGAACACACGTCTAAAGCTACTTGCCAATAATTGCGTAGCATAGACTCCTGTCCTGTCTGTTCCGTGACCATGAACGCTGGAAAGGGTTCGAAACGTCGGGAATTACAAAATCAAAATTAACACGCGATAAAATCCGTAAACTAGTTTCATTTGATATTTCATATAGTTAAGTAACGAATATGGCAGATAAATTAACGAGCGCAAATACTACAGAGATTTTAAGAGTGCGTGCTTAGGCCAAAAACATTATTAGTTCCGACGTTCCCTTGTAAGTAACTGAAAAATGCATTTTAATCGTGAATCTAAAGGCCGCACTGGCATTGTGCCGCGATGATGCAAAATGACATTTAGGCTGGCGTGCCGAAAGAAAAATTTTAATTGGCATCATTGTGAAGCCGCTAAAACTCGTTAATCACGGCCGCTATTGATCGTTTGATTAACTCAATATCACGAGATCTAAGTGTAGCTTGGGTGTTAACATGGCCTGTAATCGATCGAGAGAAATTGCTGTTACGTCGCGAGGCTTATAAAATGTTTCACATTACAACTTGATATTGAAAGTAGTTGAAGAAATGGAATTTAGGGTTGCGCCCCAATGAGTTCGTATTTTATATTTTTTTTGTATTTCATATTTTAATTCAATATACGTATTCATTCTTGTATTTAGCTTATGATTCTAAATTTTTATTGTTTTAATTAAAACACGGTTTATTTGCAAACAACTAGAGTTGTCCGGGCTTATTATGGCACAAAGCGAACAAAGGTAGGTGTAAGTATTGGATAATGAAATCTAAAATTAAAATCAAAAAACAATAACTTGTTCCGTTGTGTTATATATTTTTCTTATTGGTAAGCCACAATGTTAACATCACGAATTTTTGTTATAGTTTCATTAAATTGATTCGAAATAACAGAGGCTTGACGTCCTTATTATGTTACGACATGACAGAGTAGCCTTAGTATATGGAAGAATTAAAGAGATTGAAATTATGCAACAAATTTAATACAGATTAATTAAAAATCCATATTTTATTCGATTTTCACAACCCTGCTAAAAGAGGTCGCGTAGTGGGGTCGGCATTTCATACAACTGTTATATGTGAGTCGATAGTTGCCAATCCGGCGGGTTTCTAAGTCACGAAGCAATTGCCCAATTGCACGTGTACACGATTCGAAAATGCGTAATTACGATTTTTATATTTATTTTCATTTAACCTCTGCGGCGTCATTGAGAACGATGGACGCCGTGCGAAGTTCACATGGCCTACATGTCGGCTATTTTTTTTTTAAATACTGCTCATTCAGTTTGACACCAAAGCGAATAACCGCCAGTTTCAATATTCTATCTATATGTAGATTCGTTAACTGGAGATTGAATTTTGACGTAAGCATTATGGAGGTAATGTCAAATACCTATCGCTAGTAATCAAATCTACAGATAGAATATTGAAACCGGCCGTAAGCTGAATTTGGATTAATTTATGTCCGTTATAAATTATGTAATTTAACACTAAAGTGCTGAATTCTTCGAGAATACACGTGGTTCACTTTCGCGGGAACATTAATAAGGTGTAACAAAATGTAGTAATAAGTAAAAACAAAGATCTCAATCTATAAATTAAAGAACTACATTCGACATTCATTTATCGTTATGATAATTTGGTGAACTCTTAATAGAACAATTTTATTATTTATTCTGAACTAGCAACTAAAGCTAGCTTCGCCTGTATGTAAATCACATATCATAATAACTTTTCTCATATCACCGTATCATTAAAATGGTACAATATATACGGCCCACGGTCCAGAATAAAGTACTTTTAATAGTAAGTTTCAAGTATGGTTCTCCGGTAACCTCCACGTACACATAAACTGACAAAATTCGCGCTCTTTCTCCATAATAGTACATATTTAGAGATAATTCATAGACATATTTAGAGATAAACTGACATATAAGCTTATACATTACTGACATAATATATTAACTGACTTATTCAACATATTAGAGATAAACTGACAAAATTCGCGCTCTTTCTCTACATATTTAGAGATAATATAAACATTCCTTTTATTTCTGCCGTGTGTTCAACGCAGAGGCTGCTTCTTTTCAGAGCTCACTAATGGTCACCTTGACATCATTACCACCACGGGAAATCGTGCTTGAACGTCTTGCTATTAGTTACGTTCAGAGACTTTCCGTTATATTACGTCTAAAGTAATTTCTTAATGTTAAAAGTAAAATAACGCGACTGTTTCAAAGCTTCGTATATCGTTTTCTATTTTCGTAATTTGTCACTAAATCATTTCCGCGGTTACCCGTGAATCTATTAGTTTTAACTCCAAAGTTTGAGTTTCAACTTAAATATCAAATATACGCTACAAACATTTATATTCATATCATATCTTATGAACTGTAACAATCTTGAACTTGGTCTTGAACTAGTACTTAAATGGTATAAATCATTAACCAGGATTCAAGTTGAAGATTTGTAAAATTAATTTTTAAAGCTAATTATAAAGTTAAAGCTTTATAATTAGCTTTAAAAATGAATTTTGCTTTTCATAGGTTTGCTTTTAATTATTGTTTAACGTTAGTTGACGCGTCTGCTTGCGGTCGCATGTGATCAAAACCGCTCTAAGACTGCGTACAAATTCAGTTTTACTAAAAAACAAAAAAAAATTGGCATATCATTAGTGTGATTCTTCGCTCGTCAAATGATAGTTGTAGAAGCAACTACAACTAACCTTAAGTAAGCTATGGAAGAACGATTATTATTATAAATAATAATTATCCAAAAAGAGGTTACCTAGCATTATACTGATTTTAAATTTTTTTGGTATCAAAATTTAGTCTTAAAATGATGGTTAAACTCTTTGAATTGATCATTTTGATCATTAAGAAGATCATTCTGATCAATTCAGAATTTAACCATGCTTTTGGCAACTTAAATAACGTTTGAAACTCCATTTGACAGCTGATTAGTTAACTTCTACGATGATCAGTGTTTCAGAAACCGGGCGTTAACGACACTATTAGCGATTAGCTAATTGCGGTCTGCGTGCAGACGATGCTTATTATCCGTACCATCTTTACGTCGGCCTAACAAATAGTCTTGTTACATTCGGGAAGACATTGGACGCTCAATTTCACACCTCGCGAGCCCAATCCGCCGATTTCACGCGAGTAGAAAGTGACTGCGCACTGAAATTCGCGAGGCGATCGGCGAGTTACGTCAGTTTTAATTGCAGCAGCTCATGCGTGGAACGCGAAAACAGACGGTAGCGGTGGCTGGCGGTCGAGATCCGATCGAGAACTCAATAATAACGAACTACTAAATCAAATCTACGGCGCATAGATCGGACGGTGCAATGTTGGACTAGATGCTAATGAGGAATTTCTTCGCTCCCAAGAACTGTTATATAAGACATTAATTATTTATTTATGGAATGCAAACTTGGTCCTTCAGTCAAGCGGTCTCACCGACGACGTGCGCCAACGAAACGCGGAGCGCCAACCGGGCCCCCGAATTTTTCATTTGCCTCACGTCCAGCGTAGTTTACGGGTCGGTATTTCCCACAAACGGCCGCCATTAAGCACCGAGGCGGGGCGGGTGCATTACCCTGCCGTACTTTTGGGCGTTGCATGTACATGAGGAGTGCGCCCTGATTTTTTTCTTTCCACCGATTTCTCGGAACGCTTTATAGGTTTTCTTTAATACTGTAAACGACGTAAGGAGCTGGGCGCTTCGTCTACGATCTATTTAAAAAGATTGTCACTCTTTAGGCCCCTGTACACATTGGCTCAACGCATTGGGCCAAAGCGTTTGCGTTCGCGGAGTGTATCTGTTCACACATTTGCCTACTGCTCATTGTAACGTGTCAAGATCCTTTGATGTGTACTCAAAAACCAACAGTTCGTATTTCCGGCCAACGTTCGCGATAAGTACGATTTGTCACCAAAGATTCGCAAAATAGCCATTGTCTAATGCATTGGCCCAATGTGTATAGGAATAGGAGCCTTAGGTATTGTCATACGTGGCTGATAACCAATTAATGTTTGGTTATTATTGGCGAAATACCATGGCCTCGTAGTGCTGGATATATTACTATAAGTAGAAAAAATGTGGCATGGCGTGATATGGAAGGTCGAACGCCAAATCACTTTCACAAAAATACATCGTTAACAAAACGCAACCCGTAATTATTGTTATATTTACCGTTTTATAGGACGTTGTTTTAAATTTTATTCGCTTTCTAGGATCGATTTTTGTAATACGAATCACGACGTTTACAATTGCTACGATATTGCGACTGCGTAAAGTAAAAAAGTTCACAAAGTCGTATTTCTCATACATCATACAACATGGATTGAATTTTGCTCTAAATTATTTTTTTGTTTTAACAATTTCTATTATCAGGCAGTGACTTACTGGCAGACGACGCGGGCAAAAGTCGCAAAGGAGCACATTTATACCAAAGAACCCTTTGTTCTTCCCCTTAAAAGCAAAAATCGTTTGAAGTTCTACTTAATAAGTTCTATTTGAAAACAAAATTCGTTTTTTGTTTTGCATTTTATGATCTGCGTTGCTCACACTATGAAGTTACCGTGTTCGCGTTCTCATGTAAAGTTGTTCATGGGCGTGAGCGCGGGAAAATTTCGCGCCATCTAATTAGGGACTCGCACGGTGGGTTGTAATTCGTTAATGTTCAACGAGGCCTTACGAAATTCTGTTTTGTATTAATGTTTATTGTTTGTCACTCTAAATTTACTTATATACATTCTGGTTATCAGATCATAAATGATTGCAATTACAAGTTCCTTATCATATCGAAATATTGAGCCGCATCGACAGCAAGCTTGTTTATTTTCATCCATTTCGAAAAAAAAAACAAAACGCACAGAAAAAGCGGCAATTGCTCGTCGCTAGGTAGGCTCGAGGTCAATATAACCTATTCGCCCGCGCCTCTAACTCCACTACATTGGCGACCGCGTCCCTCACCTTGGCCGCAACCGAATAGACAGCGGCAGCGGCGACGGCCGGTGAACGAACGACCGTGGTCTAAACACGGTCGCCGACCCCGGCCGACGCCCGCCGACTGCCTGATGAGCTTCCGAGACCGGCCGAGCGGAGGATATTTGAAAAAGGAACGTCAAAAAACAATAAACAACACGAACACTGAAGTAGATCGCTTATTATGTAATAGTGTGTTCTAAAATCAAAGTAAAAGTAATAATTAAAAAAAAAAGGAAAATAAAGAACCCGCAATTCGAAATGTTACATACTATATTCCATGTTCTAGAATAAAATCTAAATTTGGTAATATTATTATTGTAAAAAAACATTGATAAGTTATTCATCCAGCTATTTATTATTTATATTACTTTAAAATGTTGAGAGCTAAAAATATTGTTTTTTTCTAAGCTTCGAATTAAAGGCATTAAGTCGTCCGCCCACTATGGACTATGGCATTCCATAAAATTGCGACTCTATCGGCGATTCTCTACATTGGCGATGCGAGTATTTTACGTTCAATGCTACCGTATAAAAACTACTCTTTAACGGATCCAAGATTACTACTGGTAGCAATAAAGTGCGTTACCTCCTATGTGATAATTAGAATTGCGAATTTGTATTAGAATACTAAAATGCCCTGTGCGCCTCCCACAAATGGTCATGTGAAAAAGTTCATTAGCACCAGAATGGAGGAGCTATTTTGGCTTGTATATATTGAATTGCTTTAAGATCGGCCATCTTATGTTTCCATTGAAATTCTTATTGTCGCACTCAAAGTCGGCAGTCACTAACTAGCCTTAAAGTCGTTGATTTGCAAAATTCAGGCTTAAGACTGATTAATGACTTCTGTTTATATAGAAAATTAATTTAAGCCAATTAAGTTAATTGAATTCAAATTGGCGATCTAAGTGCGGCTTGGATTGTTTTTTTTTTTAAAAGTAAAGTATCAGCCTATACATGTCCCACTGCTGGGCAAAGGCCTCCTCTATACAGATGGTATCAGGGCATAATCCACCACGCGGCCCCACTGCGGATTGGCGGACATCACATATCTTCGATTTTTTTTTGTTATTATTTCGAAAATATGTAGGTTTCCTTACGATGTTTTCCCTCACCGCGGAGCACGTAATAAGTTAGCACTTAAAGTTAAAAACTTCATTGGTGCCGGCACCGGGGATCGAACTCAGGTTGCTCGAGTATATTGAATTAAAGCCGAGCGCTCGGACATTGAGCTATCACGCCAATGAAACGTCATTTCATCGGGCCGTATATAACATGTTACGATTACTTTGAAATTGCAATTGCATTCTTATATTAAAACAGTGACAATATTTTAACGTCTTTTTATTGGTATAAACGGTATTTAGAATAAGAACTACGTCACCCATGAAACCTTAAAATACCTTCATCAAATCACAACCCAAATCATCCGTTACGGACGTTGGTCTCTATAACTGACCAACTTCACTTCGATCGCAAAACCGCGACGTGAGTAATGAAAGTTCCTTAATCCTTAACGCGACGCTCCTTCGGTCTATAACAGGCGATTTTTTCTGAGTCACCGAGGCTCAAAAGGCGGGGCGTCGAGCGCATCATCTACATAGCTCACGTGCAAATTCCCGCATAAAAAGGCAGCGACGCGAAACGTGATTGAAATCGAATGCTGCTTTCGAGCAGCAATCCGGTGTTGAGATTCCACTGTGGGAGAGTCACGCGTCAGCTTCCACTGCTACCAGGATGTATTAGGCCCGGGAAGCAGAAGCCGCTAATGGAAGCCGGCGTATAGTTACCTTTACTGTAGAGTCACGAAGACTTGTATGGACTGGTCAGAGAAAATACCACGGAGGACCGTACATACTCACAGAAGTTCATTGGTTAACCTGTAAAGTGTAGTAGCACTTCCAAAATTGCTACTACACTTCCAAAATTGCTACTACACTTTTGCGTTTCCTCTGGCAAGTGAGGTAACCGGGGCATACTTCTATTAAGGATGCCAATTCATTTGCAACCGCTCGATGCGGTGTTAGTGCACGGCGGGATTCATATAACATCAGAAAGAAAAATTCTTTATTTGACATCACTTAATTACAAACATTAAAATAAGAGATTAAAAAAACAACAAAAAACGATTATGACGTCCATTGTACAACAACGTATGATGTAAACTTTGACTCCATTTGAAAATCAAAACGACGAATGAATCACGGACGAAAATACTATAATGTTATTATATAAAGAAATATAAAAACAACAAAAAAAGTCATGTGAACAGTGAACTGTCTGCTCGTTTGTCAACTTTTAACAAAAATAAACTTACTTAACGTTTAATTTTGCGTTTCTGGTGAGTAATAGGCGAAAAGGGATGCTTAAAGGTAGGTAACGCATATGCAAACCCACGGCTGTTGTGGATATTCATTTTGCGGCTGCGATCACTAGATGAGTCTGCTCGTTTGCGACTATCTCTAGTTAAAAAGATAACATTGAAAAAATCAAGTCCACATTATCATATTCTCGCAATCAGCACTGTCTGGCATCTTTATCGATAGACTGGCTTTAATCTTTAAGTGCTACATCTTTATACTTATTAGTTTCTGCCTCCGGATATACGACAGTGTTTTTTTTTTCTAAATATTAATAAAAAACAACTGCGTACGGAGTTTGCCGTTGGTTATAATATGGTTTTTCATTTCCTCGTCCTTATCTATACTTGTATATAAAGACGTAAATTTTATTGTTTGTATCCTATGATAATGGCTAATCTCTAAAAGTATGAAACCGACTCCGATAGTTTTTCACTAATATAAAGCTACTTTATCGATCAGTACGACAACATTAAAAAAAAGCAAATTTAATTAAGTTAATCTACATTGATTGTGACGAAGGAAATAGCTAAATAGGTCTTGAAAGGTTGGAATTTGAAAATATTAATGATACATTTTCGTAAACAAAAGACCTTGAAAATAACCTCCTTAAAAATCATTTATACTCTATTGTTAGTTTATTATAGATGATAAATTATCTGAATTAAAGCTTAAAATACTATTGTGTATAACGGGATAGCAAATTCTAAATTCTTCAACAGCTTCTTTAATATTTTAAACATAAGTATTTGACAATTAATTGGCATGCTGTGTTTTGAAATTTATCGGCGTTTTCATTAGATAAAGCTGAAGTTTTTACGAAGATTTTGAAAGTTTCCAAATGTTTACGACATTAAAACGTATTATTAAGTTTTTATTTAAGCAGTCATAAATATTTAACAGCTGCGATTATCTTTATTGAGTTTGAAAGTGATGTACCATCCAATCAAAATGTGTCTATGAGGCACTATCTTTACTGAGCTATCTTTATTGCCTGGGTCTACATCACTGCTTACCATCAGTTAGGATAGTGATCAGGTAGTATAAGTAATATTAGTCCAGACCGTATTATAAGAAAACACACTTTTTATAATCAACACAATTATTTCCCTTCAAAACTAAGCCTTATTCTAATTTCACTTTACTGGTTACTCGGAGTTCTTTATTTTTTTTTTTCAATAACCAGCTAATATTCGGCCAGTCGTGAAATGTGTCCCCTAAAACGCAATGAATTTAAACTAAAATCAAACAGCAATAGACGCCTTCGCGACTGGATGTAGTCATTGAACCGATGTGACCGTTCCAGGAGATGCAGGACGTGCTGGACGACGACTCGGAGATGAGCGACTGGCTGGTGGAGAGCGAATCCAAGTCCGGGGTGGTGCTGCACGACCGGCTGATGACGGACGCCGCCCTGGGCGCTGTGCCCATCAAGACCGAGCACTCTTACAGCCTGCACTCAGACGTGGAGTCCTCGCCGCCCTCGCCGCATCACACAAAAGTCGATGGTAAGCGGAACTCTTTCTATCGAAACTCACACAAAAGTCGATGGTAGGGTGGAGATTGGATTCACTAAACTTTTCTCGAAACTCGAAACTTGGGCTTACGTGACGATAAATCTATAGTTGGACGAAATAGTGGGCGAGAGTGAAGATTGAGATTGAAACTTTACGCGTCCACCTGTCTCATTTCATACATCTGTGCAATCTAGCCTATGATCACTCAACCAACCAAAGATTGACTGAATTAATTGAAATGCTCGCAACAAATGTATATTTATATAAATAAATTAAAGTTATGATCAGAAGTAAAGTATAAATCACTGCTCAGAAATTAATTTAAGCACGATACGTTCTTTAACAAGAGAGCATAGACCCTCTTCCTTGCCTTCCTTCTTTAAAGGAAGGAAGTAGCCGCCAAGATACCGTTCGTCATTGTACGCTAAATATGTATGAGTTTTTAACAAGCGATAGTTTTGGAGCTTCCGTTCATTTTGAAAGTGTCTCTGGGATTTCTTTACAAACCTTCAGTGTATGAACTAATCTTATTATAAACTTAAATTATTCGTTTGTGTCCATTCGATATATTTATGACGTTAAAGTTTTAATTGGAAAGTAAGCCACCTGACAGCTTAACACTTCAGTTAACATTTTGAAACTAGTTTATTATAAAGTAATTCTCATAAATTAAGTTTTAATTACTTATCAATGCTGTACTAATACTTTTGCATTAATTATAAAATTAACTGGATAATATACAAGAATATTGAAAAGCCCCTAATTATATATATATCAAACACAACTAACGTGTTTTTCCTTTTATATGTATATACTCGCTTAACTTGCGCGACTTCGTCAGATGCCTTAATTTTCATAGGTTTGCGAAATTGATTGCGGATTTCGTAACGCGATTACTAATTGTGCGTACTTTTGTCATGCATAAGCAAACCCATTAGCCGCGTACACATATCAAAATAAGAGGTCAAATACGTGCAGTGCGTGAATTCATGTGTGATTCTGCTTATGGCATTAAGCGATTGAGCTGTTAAAGCAATTTTGAGCACGTTCCGCTCATGGCCTATAAATCGAAAATATTTACCGCTTTCCATTGGCTACAGATTATAAATTCGTTACTAATATTTTATTTGTTTATCAGACTGGGGAAAATAAAAGATATAGAATGGTGAAAAAAAACAATCGTAATTAATTTATAACTTATCTCTCATAATATTATAAATTTTTGCTTATTTTATAAATAACTGTAACAAAAAGGCCCTCAAACCATGTACCGATGGCGTGGAAAACTTAAAAGTAAATTGCTATTAAATATTGAAAAAATAAAACGCTATCAAATTCAAAAGATTTAATATAAAAAAGTTTTAAATAGTAGATATATAAGAAGCCGTTGGGTTATTGATAATTAAATGACAGTATGTTCTCTAAAGGTTAATTTAATACATATTATAAGATTGAAAGTATAAAATGTCCATGCTATAAACAATTTAAAAAAGTTGACCGTGTTTAAGTCGTGTCCGAGTCGTAGAAACTTATGAAGTGTGAAAATAATGAAAGAATAATATAAAGTGATTTGAAAAATGGCGGAATTGTAAGCATTGATCTTAGTTCCTCAATCTCTACTGCATTGATATAGGATCTTAATAAGATCGTAGGACCCAAGAACTAAGAATCTTAATAAGAATATTGAAATAACTAATAAAACAAGTCTTTTAACTTTACCTTTATCAGTTATATCGTCTTTGGCTCTATTCTTGGCTTCTTTTATTATAAGTTAATCATTTTCGGGGTTTATTTATACAAACACATTTTTTCCTTTTATTGTACCTAACTTTTCCACTACAATAATTAATATGAAAAATAAGATTACCATGAAGCTACATTCGTTTTTTTTTAAATGTTTAACGATACAGAAGCTTTGTTTTACAGATTTTAATAAGGTATATACAAAAGAAATAAATTAAATAATAAAAAACGGTCTTTACGTTGATATAATTTACTAAAAACACTTTCAATATTGTTATTTTTGTGACAGAAAAACAAATTTGTGGTCAGTATGTGTGGACATGTGTTTCCCATAAGATGTTTACCAGGCATTCAATTGCGACTTAATATTGACCTTGTGAGTTAATATCGAGACATAAATTGCGTTTTCTAACCTCTAGAGCTAGTACGATGTTATAAGTCTAAAAAATGCTGAGTATGCTATTCCTATTCTTGAGTCGATTTTTATTTTTTCCCATCAGTATTGGTGTAAGATTCAACTCGAATTACAATGTTTATATTTTTAGTTTTTTTAAAGTCCTAATGGAAGCCATTCATTACTGCAATATCTTTTCCATTTCCATTAGAGACCATTTGCTTCGGTGTTGGCTTAACTTTGAAGGATTTTTAGGAACGTAGAAAATATCGTCATAAAGTGTCCGATATCTGGCTCATATTATTGCCATTAGCAATGGCGACTACTTCGGCGAAATCCTTATCCCGAACCTTTAACGCCAATTTCCAAATTTGTAACTATACATTTTAAAATTAATTGTAGTGATCAAAAACTCCGTGGTCCAAATGTTGCATGTAATAATGACTGGCTTGACTCGGACTAATGTAGTATATATTATCTTTGCATCGATCTGAGCTTTGACAATGACAGCTAGGTGTTCGCTTATAATTAAATACACTTAAACAACCCGAGTTCAAATTGTCAAGTTTTTTTTTAATATTTTTATGATATGAAACTTACATATTTTATAAATAATACAAATAAAAAATATTTCGAAGATATGGGACGTATGGCATCGGTGTTCATGTGAACAGTTAACTTGTTTTACAAAAGTTTTCTTTGTAAAACGATTTAACTGTTTATAGTTCTTAAAAATATAAAACGTTTTAAGTGTAAACGGATAATGTGGTGAGGCAGGAAATCACCTTGCCCTCAAAGCGATCAAGGCGGCCGGTACCTTATATATAAGTACACTGGAAGTCAATGATATACATGTTTTAATTGGAGAAGGTGGTAAAAAAGGCACACCTGGTGACAACCACACACTATGATAGGAGGATACACAAAACTATGATACTACCATTCTTCGGCGCTCTTCTTCACAGCCGTACTACTTCCTCGGACAGACCTGTCCATTCTTGCAACATCAGAAACTGCTCCGTTGCTCTACCACAGTTGTGATATGTCTAATTTTAAAGAAAAGTCTACAACAAATAAATTTCTTTGGCAGAACCAAACAGCATAAGCAATTTTGCAAAATGCATATGCAGTTTAATAGTAGTCATATCTAGTTGACTATATAAAATACATTAATTCAATCTACTACGGCTACCCAAAATATGTTGCAATTAGTTTATTTCGTAAATAAATTATTGCTTATTACGAAACGAGCTCATAACAAGAACTCGTTATGACCAAAGAGTTTCTAGTCATTTCCCCACACCCCCCAATTAACGATTTACGCCTCCCATATCTGGTCGAAAAGTTGTCAATCACTGAATAAAAAAAATCCGACGAGGCTTATCGTTTAGCAGTAAATGTCAGATTTATTTTGAAATAAGAACGCGGAAAGAACAGAATAATTAAGTGTTAAATTAATAAACGGTGTACGAAATTCGCGTAAAGCCGACGGTGTTTACCTAGCATTTACCGTTGCATTGGTCGATCATTAAATTAATCGCGGCCGGCTCCGCATAATTCGCAGTTGATTTTGGTGAAAGGAATTCTAGCGAGCGACCGACGCTGACTCATGTAAATGTCAGCCGTCTATATACTATTAAAGTATAAAGTCACGGATACTATGAGGAGACGAATTTTATCGATACGCATAAATTACTTGACAATATAATTATCTCTGCGTTGTTCAGCCTTCAGGCTTTATACTAAAGCAAAATCTCAGCGGCCTGTATTAATTTTCACTTTATCACAGATTACTAATTTGAAAGCCTATAATTGTTCTAGTTCTTTGCTCTCATTACAATTATTTCTTAACATTAGTACGAATGAGAATGTCGACCACAAAAGCATGCAATCTGGCTGAACGTTTCCGATGCTAGAAGAGGTTGAAAGGAATTAATTCTGGTAATTGCTCCGAACTGTATCCTCTATAGATTCCATAACCAAGACGGGTGCTTTGCATCTGCGCCTGGGCAGTGCACGTTAAATTACGATGATAAATCTAAACATTTTATAAATGTATTTTATTAAGAACAAACTAGGCGAGTGATACATTCTGAATATTATCGCTTATCTATGAGATTTTTTTTTTTTTCTCTTTATTTTTAAAAAGGGTTTAATCTTTACAGATTATGTCACCCTCATTGTGTTCACAAGATTACAAAAAAAACAAAAATGAAATAGGATTTACATAGATCAATTTAAACCACCTCTGCGTCTTATTCCTAAGTTAACAATTCTATAAAGTAACCTGGCAGAATCCGATGTTGGATTTGCAAGGACGAGGAAAAAAATTATGTACTAAATTACACAGATCTCTTCTCTCCGGTTCGCTACGGGAGCATTCCATTATTGCATGGTATACATCTTCAATCTTGTATTGCAGATTGTACAGTTCTGGGATTGTGCTTGTCCCATCAAAAAAGCGAATTTGTTCAAAGGGATGTGCCCGGAGCGAAGTCGGAGAGCAGTTATGATTGTTTGTCGTCCCATTTTGGTATTGTCAATCCACGTATGTTTTAAAATGTTAGGTTGAATCGTAGCATACCATATTCCTTTACTGCGACTACGTTCATTGAAATATTCTTGCCACGTGCTAAAACAATTCTGTTTAATTTTATAGTACATTTCTTTATAAAATGGATCACATGAGTAGGATTCTCCGCTGTTTGATGCTTCTTTGGCCAACTGATCGACGATTTCATTGCCTATTATACCAACATGGGATGGGACCCACTGCAATACAACATTTTTATTGATTGTTTTAAGTTTACAAATTGTTTCTATTATATTGTATGCAATAGGTAGACCACGTATA